GGGCCTGGGTTTCAGCTGTCCACACCACAGCAGTGGGCAACGAGCTTAAAGCCCCTGATGGCTCTGGGCTCTGACTCTCACCAGTGGCTATGGATGAAGTCACAGGCGATTTTCAGCCAGCACCGGCCAACACCAGTTCTTATGCCTGATCCTTAATCCAGTTCTTCCCAACCTAATTGTACATTCTCATCTCTCCTTCCCTTAAATAGAGTGGTAGAATCAGGTAAGAGGCAACCATGATTGCCCACACCCTGTTCCTTCCTTACTTGATTTCTCCACACAGAGACTACTCTAGAGCCCTGTCAAGCCAGTGGAATAGAACTTGGTCAGGAATGGGGGCTTTGCCATGGACCCTCAGCTGAAGGAGATAAACTCTATGGAGCATCAGATCTGGGCACCCCTCGGCGAAAGACTCAACACAGCAAGCACAAGATGGTGGCCGTGGCCAGTGCACAGAGGTCACCCCGGGCACTCTTCTGTCTCACTCTGGCCAATCCCCTGCGACAATCCTGCATCAGCATTGTAGAGTGGAAGCATCCTAGAAGGCCATGGGTAGAGGGCAGTGAGGGTCACCAACATACCAAGAGTCAAGGATTAAGCCAGAGAAAGAATGAAGGAGTATCTAGGTCAGGAGTCAGTGACTGAATCACAAGAATTTGGGATCACAAAGATTTTAAAGAGGGAGTTGTGGTAGTATAGTTCATAGGAAGCTGCACTTTTAACCCAAAGGCCAAACCTCTCTAGAGGTTCAAATCCACCAGTGGCTACATGGGGAAAAGATGAGCAATCTCCTCTGACGCAATTTACAGTTTTGGAAACCTAAGAGAAGGTTTTCTTTGAGTTGATTCCAATTCATATCATGTATGGCAATGCAAAAGGGAGGGGGAAGAGATTTTCAAGGGGGTTAAGTCAAGTCTTGGTCAAGGCAGTGACTAGAAATATCAGAACTGGTCATTTTAGGCTAGGGTCAGCACTGGATGGGGAGGATACCAAGGGAGAGGGAAGGTCATAGACCACTCTGTCTAAGTCCTTGACTATGTCTACCTGAGGCCCTTTGACATCCTCATTCTGCTTACCATCTTTGCCAACTGTGTGGCCCTGGGAGTCTATATCCCTTTCCCTGAAGATGACTCCAACACTGCCAACCACAATCTGGTGAGGCATGCCTGCCCCAGCCATACACAACTACAAAAAAAATAAACCCTCAAGTCTTTCACCCAGGTCTTGTCCCTCTCTGACCATGGTAACCACCTACCCCTGCCTAGGTCGATCTACTACAACTCTGCAGCCCTCTTACTTCTTATGCCCACTTGACACCTACCCTCAAACACCACTCAAAAATAACTCTCCAATCTCCCTCCCTGTCTCTGGTTCCACCCTTCAGGAGCAGGTGGAGTATGTTTTCCTGGTGATTTTCACTGTGGAGACTGTGCTCAAGATCGTGGCCTATGGGCTGGTGCTCCACCCAAGTGCTTACATCCGTAATGGCTGGAACCTACTCGACTTCATCATCGTCGTGGTTGGGTACGAATCAATGGGGTCATCCCATTCTATTTGTCTTCCCAAACCAAACCCTCTAAATTCCAGGCCAAGGGAGGATAATGCCCCATACCACCCCCATTTGGCTACCAGAATCAGGAATATTAACATATTTCAAATTCTTTACATTTCTAGCTAATCAGATTTGTACTTTTCCAGGAAGAAGGGAGAAGTTGGAGGGGAATGCCAAGGCCCGACTTTTGTTTCTAGCAGTAGCATCATTAGGAAGTTTGGGGTGTGTGAACTGCACTAGGTGACAATATCAGAGGGGATGACACTAAAATGCCTACACAATTTTTGTACAGTAGTTCAGCAGAAATTTATTTTTATAAAATACCCCTGTAATTTTTTATAAATCCAGTTTATATGTATCAATATACCTACAGTGTTAGATACAAGCATAGGTTTGCTTGTGTTTACTTATAAATCTGTAGTGAACAATTTCACATCAACAGAACCAAAACCTCTTTTCAAATATGCAATCCCTATCAAGTACAGATTACCCAATAAACAAAATAAGTACATGTTTACTTGTGCTTACTTGCTAATCAATCTGTCATGAAAACATTTATGGTGAAACTCATGTGAAATTTTTCACTATACAATTATATAGCCCATGCTTACCTTGCTTATATGGAGTTCTGGTTGCCTAAGCAGTAGAGAGTTGAGCTGCTCTCTAGTAGTTCAAAACCAGCGGCAGCTCTGGCTCCAAGGGAGAAAGATGAGCAATCTCCTCTCGTGTTATTTACAGTCTTGGAAATCCAAGAGAGGGTAAGCTATGAGTCAATTCCAACTCCATAGCAATGAGATTTTCATCTCTGACTGAAGGACTTAAAACTCTATGCTAGCTTACTTTTTTAACCTTCTAACACACTCAATTCAGTGATGTCATTGTTACCCAATTACAAAATCACTTCCAAGCAGTTTCCTTTGCACAAGCTACTGAAATGCACTGATAGTATTTTTATAGTAACTGATTTTGTCAAATTCTGCTGTTTAACTAATATAGTAATATTATAACTA